AATCTAGTTTTGACGACCCTCTTGAATTTGTCTTCGGCTTTCAAATTCAGAAAGTTGCAACTTAAATACTCAACTTCAAAGATCTGTATTTTATCAACAACTTCAGCATGTCCCAGGTGAAGGTAAGAAATGCAGCTATGTTGGTTTTACTTAGTTTTCCTTTGCAGAGGAATCGGTCTGCCTGAGTGAGAGGAGCCGGAGTGAGGTGACCTTCCATCCTGTTAGGCAGATTTTTGAGACCAAAGTGTGCAGGTTGACACCTAGCCAAGTCTAATTGCTCTGTGAGGTTGTCACGCTCATTGTAAAGAAAAAGTCTTCCTTTACGATGATGTAATGCCATTTCTAATGCTCCAGTCAATTAACTAAATATACATTTCAAAAAAGTTAGTGATTGTCATGCTAACAACGAAAGTTAAGATGCTGTTGTGTAGCAGGTACAATGTTTACCATGTTCACCTTAGTTTGTTGTGTTAGTATTCAAACATTTACTTGCATGCAAATCAGGAGCAAACAAAGTACAGCTGAGGCTGGTGGGATATTTCATTAGCTCTGCAGATATTTGGACAAAAACCAAGTATTGGACAGATACTTAAGTCTGTGGGGAAAATGAATAGCTGTACTAAATATTTATGGCAATCCAGTGGTTATAGAGACATTTCACTCTGAACCAAAAATGTCAAACTGCTGATGGCGTTAGGAGAAGCCAGGGGATAACCATTCATCATATGGGAACCATGAATGTCTGCTCCAAAACGCATGTCAATTAATCTAAAAATTTCAACATATCCCACTTGAGGCCAAAAAGGGATGGACCAATCAACTGCCTCCCAGAGAAACCCCTCTAATGTGGCTAAAAACAGAGGGTTGAGGGGAAAAGGTGAGAACAACAACAACAACAGGGGTGAAAAGGAAGCACGGCTACAATAAAGCTATACACTCTGTTCACAGCAAGGGAGAGAGAGAGTCCAATGCAAATACCAAGATCTCAAAGAAATAAATCAGGGGTAAGAGACTGAAAGAGGCAATGAGTGAAGAATGAACAAGTTTAAGGGAGTTGAGAGGCTAAATAGCTTTTTTGAATCCAGTTACTCAGACAACCAACTAATGGTGGGCTTCCTGGCATGGCAGCCGGTGGAGATAAAACTTTTTGAATTTGGGTGCCACACAGGGAGGAAAAAGAAAATTACAAAGACACAGAGAATGAAGAAATAAGACGAAGAAGCCAAGGCTCAACCGCAGCCAGCTTGGAAAAAGAGAAAGCTAACAAATCGAATACGGAATGAGGGGAATGATTGATGAAAAAGGAATTAGGCAGAGATGAAAGTGATGAAGACTGTGTGGGGAGGAGAATTGGGGAAACAGCAAGTTTAAAAGTGGAGTTTCAAAACTCCATATGAAAATTACCTCACTGACAAGTCTATTAGTGACGCAGTCTGTTTCAAACGCACAAAAACAAGAATGAATGTGCTCACGCCTCAGAGTTTGAGAGTGTAGCAGAGTGAAACAAACACTGAAATAATAATGGAACAAAATGTTAAAATACAGTAAAACCACAATATAATTTTCATTTGAGTGATTCACACTCAAATGTAATACTTGTAATGAGTACATTTCCCCTACAGTTTAGATGGATGCACACAGAGTTTCTGCAGGAAACACAGGTTCTCTTTCCAGCTGTGGCTGCTTAGAGCTACACCACTGCCTGAAATGAAAGCTGTGCAAATGAAAAGTGTTGCTTGTGACAGCTGAAACTTTTCAACGTGTGCCGTTTCGTGCAGGACGCTGCCCAAATTCAAGTAATTACTGCACTCCTGCCATTCAAATGACCCCAATTCCCCAAAATGTCAGATTTCCTCTGTGATATGCAGGTTTTCCCTGCAGGACAAAGAGGATTTGACAAACTGGTGCAGGTCTGGAGTGGAGGGGATCTGACTTGCATGAGAATGACTTTCTATCAACTTATCTTCTCACTGATGTGTGTAAGCAGGTAAAAACGCTATTTCACTATGAAAGCAAAGTGCATAAAGAGAACGAAGTGAGAAATAACAAAAGGAGGTCAGGCAGATATGGTGGCACAAATCAGAATAAAAGAAACATCTATTGATACTCAAAGTGGAGTCAAGATCTTTCCCATCTCATTTTGTTCCCACAGAAAATGCAGCATGACATCCATGGTGAGTTGCAACTAGATGAAAATATTAGTATGATAATTGCCTGAGTTCTTCAGTGTCCCTTATCCTCCATTTTAGCTATTTTTTCCATTTTTAAATGTATTAGATATGACATTGCATTCAACAGCAGTAATAGAAAAGAAAGGCAATTCTGGAAAGTTTACATTGCAGATATATCTGCTCTGTGCACATGAAATACGTGATTTATGATACTTGAATATCCCATCTTCCTACATTATTGCTTCCTAAAAGCCACAACAGTGTGGCTTTGCACACTTTAATAGTAAAACAGAAATACAGAGTTCAACACACAATTCATGCTGGAAAAAAACCTCGAGAACAGAAAACATGAAACTTGGAAGAGATCACAGAGTTATGTGAATGCTAGCCATTCAGTAAATGAACAATTATCTTTGAAGCCAAGCACCCAGCTGCCCTGGCTATAGTAGTTTTGGTTTGCTTCAAAGATACCCCATACAACAAAAAAAGATGTTTGAAATTAAGTTTTGTTTGTTAATAAAACCAACAATGTGTTGCAAAGGCAGGGAAGAAGACAACCCATAAACATGGATGTAGTTCAAAATCTACCCCCCCTTTAATAAAACAATCTTTTGGAGGAAGAAAGTGCATTCAACACATTAGTTAAGCCTCCGTGAAGTCAGAACACTGGTTTTGCGAAATGCATTGAATGTACACATACCTTTGTTGACAACTCCACCCTGGAATTTAACTCTGACCCTGCACACCTACAGTGACTAGGTGTGGGAATCTCTTGGCACCTCACGATTTGATTACGATTCAGAGGGCTACGATGCGATTATAAAACTATTATCGATGCATAATTTTTTTATATACAGGAACAGCGTATAATTACAAAGCATTTCATTTGCACAATAAATCCAAAAGAAACATCTCCTAATTAGCTTAAAAGGACTAGTTTGCATCCCTAATTTATTTCATTAACCTCAACTCCATGGTCCCTCACTTCTTTAACAACCAGTTTTCAGACTCCTCTGAAAGCTGAAATTATCAGTATGTACACCAGTTTAGTCTAAACTTGTTCCTGATGTTCTCGAACCTTCACAAGTAGATAAGATTTAAGTAGGGTGGTTATTCATTCGCCTTTTGCATTCCCTCAACAATACGTTGTCAACCAACATAAACAAATTGATTTTTTGACAACTGTTAATCAAGTCAGAATCGTCCATGTCCGCATCGCGATGCATCTTAGGCCCCGTGTCCACCAAAGCGTTGTTTTCTGACGCCAGCGTCCATTTTCAGTTCATTGCAATGGGAGCTCACCCCTCCTCTACTGTGATTGGACAGCTGAGTAAAAAGTGACATTGACGAGCACAGCGTTTTCCCCAAAGGTGAACATTTTTCAACTCTTGGCGACTGGAAAAAAAACCTCAGCACCTCGTCACGCTCCTGGCGTTTTTACCAGCTTGGAAAATCGCAGCACACCCATTGCAATGAAGTGAAAATAGACACTGGTGTCAGAAAAAACACAATTTGGTGGACATGGGCCCTAAAAGTTGGGCGGAGGTATGCTGGGAATTTAATTTCAAGGTGCTTCATCGACTCATCAAGGTGAAACAGGTCCGACCATAACAGGAAAAACAAAGCTACAAGGCAAGAGGGTCACACAATCCTTGGACGTTCAGACAAGTTAAGCGAGCTGTGTGGGTGCACTAAGAGTATCAAGAGGATTTAATCCATCCACAATTTAGTTAATAACACGTCTCTTTAACAGAGCTCAGTGAGTGCCCAGGGCACAGTGAGGTACTACTGCCACCTGAGTCCAGACCAAGCATATAGCAACTGGGTGAGCGCACACACATTTTTAAACTAAATTGGCAAACAATTGGCAGGTGTACGTCCTCATTTAAATCAGAAATAGATGGAAAACTGCAGCCCCAGAAAGAAAACTACCTAAATTGTGAATAGTTTTTTTATTGATGCTGAATATGTCATACTGTACTTTTACTCAGAATAACACAAATTCATGGTTTGGAAAAAAAAAAAACAGACTTTTTTGTTGACTGGTGGTTGCTTGATCACCCAGACTTCAATGTTTACTGATGGGCTTCCCCCCCCCCACTCATCAAGAGCTGATTTAGCTCACTGTGGTAAAATACAAATATAGCAAGTTGATCAAACAGCGTATTTGTTTTGTTTTTTACTTTTATGCAAAGACTGATAGATAGAAGGGATGAAAGAAGCCAAACAAGAGTGAAGCGACTGATCAAGACAGTGAGAGTACAGCTTACAAGGTTGTCAGTCCTGTTGCCATTGGTACAGGTGAAATCATCTTGTTCCCATGCACATCTCCCCCTGCCCATAACTTCCTGTATTAGTTTAACTCATTTGTTAGTCTGTCAGCCTAATTAATTGACCATATTATGCAGGAAATAGTGTAAATTAATGTAATTGTAGTTTTCTGTGTGTACACACATCTGCGCTGAACAAAGATTTACGGGTCTGTGTGTGACTGAATAGCCAATATACCCTGTTTTTCTGTCTTGTGTGTGTGTGTATTAGTTTGAGACCCATCTGTGTTGTTTCCGCCGAGCAAATCTCACAGATCATCAGTGGACCGGAATGCTATTTATATCTTTCATTATCCTCTTTCTCACCTCTCCCCTTCATTCCTATTGTCTCTCTCGCCCTCTCTCTGACCTCATCTTTCGGCTCTTCTCATTCCACCTGTTCTGGCTCTCTTCATCTAAGCTTGAAGCTGCACACCTTTCTGTTGACAGACTATACCAAACACACACAAAATGACAAGCTGCCTAAACCCATCCGCACACGTAAACATCTGCAACTTACTCAGTAATTTCTTCAGTGACCGTGTGTTCAACCTGGAGTCGAGAGTTGACCTCAATGAAGTAGTGTTTTCCATGTTTGTCCACCAGGAACTCCACTGTCCCTGCATTCTCGTAGCCCACCTGCATCAGAAAAAATAAAAAATAAAAAATATAGCAAGAAAGCAATTTTATAGCTCTGAACTTAGGTTACTAGTAATGACGTTAGTTGTGTAAACACTCGAGGAGCACTCACTCATCTTTAATGAGCAATGAAACTAGAAGCACAAAAAGCTATTCTGCACTCCCCATAAAAAATTTGACTACATAAAATCAGGAAAGAATAAGCTTCATGTTTATTTGTATTGACACAGGAGGACATTCATTATTTTCCTGTAAAGCAACAATTAGATTATCAATCAAAAAGGTGTTTTATTGAAAGTTCATCATTATAAAAGACCATTTCCTCCTCTACCTTTCAACTGGGCCTTAAATATTCACAAATAACCAGCACACAATAGATATAGGGTTGTATTTAATGTTTGCAGAGTGACAGTTTAGCCCCGTCTGCATACAAATTAGACTTTTGGGACATATTTTTATAACACATAAGAAAACATTTATCTTGAACAGATCGACAGACCAAAAACACACTCAATCCCACTGCAATATCCATTTTGAACAAGGCCTAATAGGCTGACACCATTTATCAATGCAGTTTTGCACACCTGCTTTTATGAATGGTTTGTGTTTTAATGTCATTTTATGTTTTTAAGTTGTGAGCTCCTAACCCCAAGACAATTATAATTATGTGATAGGCAATAAAGGTTTTTGAATTGAAGTCAAGTGAGCAAGCAAGCCAACAAATATTTTGGAGGGTGATAATGATCCGCCCGGTGACAAGAGGCAAATAAAAAGAAGAGAAGAAGCAGGATCAAATGTTGCGATCGTCATTTCCGCTAAGTGCACCACATCCTTGTTCAGTTTGAAACAACACTACACTGTCCAAAATAATGTGCTAACAAAAATTATGGATCAAGGTGACCTTCCATGCTCATATCTGCAAACACAGTATGCTCCTACTGAAGGTATGTATATAAACGTTCACTGTCAACATATTTGCAACTTGGTTAAGGACAGTTAAAGAGCATGGTCTTTGATAAATAATGAAAATGGCCTTGCACAAGACTTGGATGCGATATACTGAACAGTAAACATAGCAGTGTGCGTTGGAGCCGTTTGGTACACAATATGGTGGCAGATGTAATGCATTGGGGCCACAAGTTCAACGGACCACAAGGAAGTAACGCTGACTCAAAAGAGATGTCAAAAACTCAACAGCAAAGCACAGCACTTGAAATCACTTACTGTACAGGCACTAGTGTTGTCAGAAATATTGATTTTTTAATACATAGACTATAAAATATTAATAAAACAGTTTGATATATTCATTTATGGTCACTCAAAGCGCTTCCTTCGTTCACTCCTTAGAAGCGCGTTTTTCTTCCCCTGCCATTTTCGACAAGCCCCGCCCTACTGTGCTGTGATTGGCTAGTCCTCTTGTACTTGTAATTGGATGCTGGTAAAGGATCCAAAGCAAGCCCAGAATAAAGTGACTGTACAGAGCAGTGCTAACAAAAGAGCAAAGCACCTGCAGGACTGACACGCCATCCTCTATAAAGAATCTGCAGGGGTGTGAGACGTCTCCCCTTTCATCACTAAAGTATTAAACAAGATGGCCCTGTAAAATGTTGTTGATAAGATAACTGTCCTGCTGTTTGCCTAAGACATTTATAATTCTCAAAACTAAGCTAATCGCCCTCAGAGCTGTCACATCTGAGGAATCTCAGACAGAGTTTCAGTTGATAGGAAATACTTCAACTAATGTCAGAAGTAAATTAACTGATGCTGTTCTACTGAACATACAGTTAACTTTACTTACCAAGATATGTTAAGATAATTCAGTAATTATATTCAGTTATTTAATCAATGTTGAGTTAATTTTCCCTCCGTGGTAAGTCAGAAAATCCACTATCATGACAACACTAACAGGCACGTGGATCATTACTATACAAGTGATGGTATTCAGCTTCTAAATAAAACAAAAAAAAAAATAAAGAAGGTACAAACCACAACTTTGATGTACAACTTCCACTTAGTCTGCCAAAAGATGTTTCTCTCTTCTTGGAACAGAAATTATGTAATTTGTCAGATGTTACCTCTGAGGTGTGCAAATGTAGCATTTAAAAAGCAATGTACTGATTTGTGTACCTTTTTAACTATTCATTGGCTAGTTTTATTTCTTAATCTTCATTAACCAGACAACAACAAGGTATTATCCAAACTCTCCTCACCTCTTCAGACATGTTTTCTTTTCAACTCAGTAACTTCCTTTCGGTTGTATACATGATACATTTCCATTTAGATTGTAATGTCCATTTTAACTTATTATGGCCATTACAGTTTGATTTTTCATCACACAAAGTTTCTCTCTATGCAATGTTTTGGTGGAATTTGACTAAATGATATTTTTAAATCTTTTTTTAAACATAATCATGTAGTGTAATTAGTATGATTTGCTAAGACCGCATCATCCTGAATGGACTGGGAGGGTTTTTTTGGTTGTTTTTTTAAGTTGAACATACTCCCATTCAGAGCCAACCTGTGATAATTGTGAGGGGAATCAGCATGTTAGCACACCAACAGCAGCACTTTTCATACTCATCCTTCAAAGCTCTACTTTGGGTTGTCTCTGCTTAATTTTGCCCAGTGGGAGCTGCAAGCAGAGGGTAATTGCTATAGAAATGGTATATAAATAAAGTTTATTATTATTATTATTGTGAGACTAGGCGGGTTTACATGAATTATACAGATGATTTGGGCAAAGCAATTCGATTGGTGTTCCAACCATTTTTACCAATTTAACCAATCACAACATCTTATTCTAAGTTCCTCAGATCAGATCCAGCCACATCACTGATTATTCCTATGATCACACTTTACCATATTACGAAATGTACCACATTTTAGGTGAAGGGAACACTGAAAAAACAAACAGCCAAACATCAGAATGAAATTAGAGGGCTGAAAGCAATCAAATGACCAAACACACAAGCTGTAAAATAGCAAAACTAATTTTCCCAGAAGGCACAGATGTGAACAATCCAAGAAAAGGAAATCAATGTTCTAAATCAGTACCCTCCATCCTGTCTTCAAGCGAAAAAATGCATGTTTAGTGCCTTCAGGATTGCTTTGATTTCCAACATTTGGCGAGCATAAATGTCAAGACAATCAAATGGGCAGAGGAAGAGGGGGATGGATTGCAGAGACAAAGAAGGCCCCAAGCTAAAACTACAGGTATTAGAATTTGGCAGCTAAAGAAAAGCTCAAACATGTTTTGGAGATGCCGTTACAATGAAGAACCCATCATGCATAACACGCCAGTATTTTAACAAATGTTTCAAACTGAATAAAACATCACCTGCTCAGAGCTTATTAGCCTCTTATTTAGCCAGTAACAAGAATAATTAAGTTTGCTGTGAAGAAACACTCATCAAGAGGAAGTTAGACACAGATAAGGAGCACAGCACACACACCCACATGCAACACATGTATTAATATTCACTGCAACCTTCAAAACATCATCTGTGTCAAAATATTCAGACACATTCAAGTCAGCTAAGTTTTCTCTGCAGAGAGATTAGGCCCATTTATGGAATCTGTAGCTCCTCACAGGATTTACCTGAGACTCATTAAAGGGTTTTCTCACACACGCGCGTAGAAAATTCACACAGACATACTGGGACATTGGAAGGCACAGCAACACATGAAACCTAACACCACAAAACACCTACATGCTCAAGAGTGCTGTGGTTTTGTTCCATTAGCTGACATGAAATCAAGTCTGGGGGAAATTAAACAATTAAAATGTGTGTGCGTGCCACCTGTGCAGAGCTCTTAGTACCCGTCTGTTAATTGATTAAAAACAGAACCAGTAACCCCAAGAGACGACAGTAGAGATTCAGAAAACACAATCTCACAAGAAGTGCAAATCCGTATGTTATGTGTAATAATGTATTATATATAGTACACCCAGTACGTACACTGAGACAGTACATGCTTACAGCTAGGCTACAAAATGCTAATTTTCAGCCCGAGTCACCTTTCTCGTAACCTTCTCAGCCAAATTTTTCATTGCACTTTTGTGTGCGCGTGTACAGCATGTGATGACAAATACATGCAGCTAGAACCTAAGGCCTCATTGATAAACTGTAACAGTGAAAGACAGACGACACTTGACACAAAATTCACACACACCTCCACCCTCCAGACTTGAAGCGCACACAAATTCTACTACACACACACACACACACACACCCACCCACCCACCCCCCCCCCAATATGTGTCACTCCACATTGCACGCACTCTGTCTCGCTCACACCGCTGAGTCAGTGAGTGAAGTACCAGCCAGTAACAGATTGAGTGGTCGCTGTTTTATAAGGTCTGACAGCGAAGTCAATGGGCTGTACTAGCACAAGGAGAGGTCACTGGGGTGCAAAATGCACGCGTGCTACCACACACACTTAACAGTGTTTTAAGTATAATGTACATTCACACATGTTGCTCCCTGCTGCTGCTCACAGTGTGTGTGTGATTGAGCTTAAACGATCCCCAGCCCAGATGAATGTACACTGGTGTATAGCTTTGAATAGGAAGTGACAGAGACAGATAGCTGGTACTGTAAGACAGTGAGAGCAAGGGAGTGAAACAAAAAGCATTAAGAACAATTCATGAGTAGTCGGAGAAAAATGGGTGAGTATAGACAGGAGGAAGTGATGGGGTAAAGAAAGGACTGATGGATGGATCAAATGACAACAGAGACAAGGAATCAAGTGGGAGTGGACAGAAAGAGGACAAAGATGTACAGGGAGAAAGGAGTGGATTAGATGGAGTAATCAGGGAGGAGAAGAATAGCCGAGAGCTTCAATGATGGGACTGTCACTTTCCTTGGTTTCTCTCTCTCTCGCTCTAAGCACTTTAGCTTGAAATCATTTGCATGTAATGTTGTTACAGGATGTAAAAGTTCAAATTTCCCCCTTGCTCCACAGCGCCTCACTGTGACACTCAAAGAGTGCACAATAGT